TTCTCTCTTCTATCGTTCCAAAACATTTTTACACTTGCTTTCACTTTAACGTAACTTAAGTATATTTCTTATAAATATGAGATAAACATCTTTAAACTTTCCATTAAAGTGATGGCAAACTAACAATTTTCATTAAAATTGATTAGACAATTTTCTTTATCATTTTGTTATAAAACTTCTTGCTTTTATCAACTTTTGATTATTAATATGAATAACTAAACTGTATTTAAGGTATTGGTTGAGATAAAAAAGTCAGTGTCACGAGCGGGATTCGAACCCACGACCTTTGGCTAGATACGCCGCTGCTCTACCACTTGAGCTACGTGACCTCGATCCACTCAGACACCAACTCCCATCTCATTTGAATTTTCCCTCTTTTTTGCCATTTTTCAAATGTCGTGTAATCTATTTGATTCGCGGCTACAAATGAAATGGCCACGGAGAGCTTTAAGCCAGGAGCACACTTACCCGATGCTACGCCATGCGACGCTACTCGATGCTACCCGACGCCTTGCCACGTTTTGGTGGGGCACACGTCGCGTACAGTCCACAGCGTTTATCACAATAATCACTACCACAATCGCAACGCATCTTTTCTTCTTAATGCACTATTTTGGGCAAAACCTTGTAATAAATTGTTAGTTAAATTTTATGAGCACAACCATCTAATAAATTGTTTGTTAAACATAATTGTTTTAAATAAAGTTACTCCTAACCATCATAATTAAACAATGTTTATAAAAACTTATGCATTTTTTATCTTGTTTAATTTGGTTTACATTAAAATAACATGTTGTAATTAATATAACGACAATAATACATGTAGTTTGAATAAAAATATGAGTGTCCGGTTCTTTTGTCTTCAACTGTACTCAATGCGACCCGACGAAAATCTGGACAGCGGGGATCGCAGAGCGTCGGGTAGATGTGCACCAATGCAACCTTATGGAAAAACGGAGTTTGGATTTGCGTCGGGTAGCATCGGGTAAGTGTGTTTCTGGCTTTAGTAAAGATGTACTTAATTTAACTTATTAAATTCACTAGTTATCGTGGTCAGCTTGATCAAATAATATCTTTCAATTAATTAATCTGTATTTAAGGTATTGGTTGAGAAAACAACAGTCCGTGTCACAAGCGGGATTCGAACTATTATTTGGTCAAGCGGACCACGAAAACTAGTGAATTCAATAAGTTAAATGAAGTATATCTTCACTAAAGGTCTCCGTGGCCATTTCATTTGTCGCCGAGAATCAAATAGATTACACGACATTTGAAAAATGGCAAAAAGGAGGGAAAATTCAAAAGGTGGGGTTGAGATGGGAAGTTAGTGTCCGAGTGGATCAAGGTCACGATAGCTCAAGTGGTAGAGCAGCGGCGTATTTCACCTAAGGTCGTGTGTTCGAATCCCGCTCGTGACACTGACTTTTTATCTCAACTAAAAACCTTAATTAATTGAAAGATTTTAATTGGTCAAGCGGACCACGAAAACTAGTGAATTCAATAAGTTAAATGAAGTATATCTTCACTAAAGGTCTCCGTGGCCATTTCATTTGTCGCCGAGAATCAAATAGATTACACGACATTTGAAAAATGGCAAAAAGGAGGGAAAATTCAAAAGGTGGGGTTGAGATGGGAAGTTAGTGTCCGAGTGGATCAAGGTCACGATAGCTCAAGTGGTAGAGCAGCGGCGTATTTCACCTAAGGTCGTGTGTTCGAATCCCGCTCGTGACACTGACTTTTTTATCTCAACCAATACCTTAAATACATATTAATTAATTGAAAGATATTATTTGGTCAAGCGGACCATGAAAACTAGTCAATTTAATATGCATAACAATAAAATCTGTACTATTATAATAAAATCTAGTATAATTTGTTATATTTCTTTAAATTTAAATCCACGTCTCGCTTTCTCGCTTTTTCCTTCGCTCTACCGTATATGGTTATGTGGTTCAAGAATGGTCTAAACAAATTCCAGCAAAGAAACGGAATGACGGTGATTGCACTGTAAGGTGGTTTCAGTCGCTAAAAGTTCCAATTACATTCCAGCAAAGGGAAAATAACCAGCAAATAATAGAATTCCTTGAAATACTAACTTTATTTCACCTATTTTAGGTAAAAACAAAATCCCTTTGAGGCTCAGTTAATGAAATACAAAACTTTTCAAGAGGGGGTCGAGGCAGGGGGTTTACAATAAAATGTAGAGACTTCACTGTAAATGAATATTTAATCCTATTAAAATATGATTACGGGAAACTTCTTTATTGTCCCAAAAGGCCAGCCCTTTATTGCAGTTTGTTTTTCCTTTGCTTCCTTCCTCTCTTTTCTACCCACTAGGTTTTAATTAAGGTTTCTAGGGCAAAGGGATTTTCCTTTCCTTTTTACTAAGAGTTTTCTTTTAAGTTCCTAAATTCAATTTATCCGTTAAAAAATATAGTAAAAAGGACTCCTTTTTTTAGAAAATTCGTATTTCGTTTAAAAGTGAAACTTTTTCAAGGGACAAAAAATGTTTAAAATCAAAACAATAGTAGCATAATAATTACATAATTTAAAAAAACTCGTCAAGTTTGTAATCTAGATTGATATATGTATATTATTATAATTTTAAAATATAATAATAATAATAATACCTTCCATAAATTTATAATAATTCGAAATATCATGGATAAGGCCATTATGAAAAAAAAAAAATCTATTATTTTTATAAAAAGGCACTACACTTATCCTTTATGTTTTAATACAAAATTACAATATTGAAGACTGACATCAATCAATAGGAGGTAAATTTAATCCTCAATTTAGAAAAGTAACAACAACAAGAAGTAACAGCAACATAAGCTATTCAGTTGTAGTGTACTTTTAATACTTAATTATATTTCTTTTTTTTCCTATGTACATAACTTTACAACATGTAAACATCAATTAAACCCTGATGGCAATAAATTAACTGCAATTATAGATTGTACATTCTGTTGTTAACTCTGCACATTAAACAAAGTTTGTAGTTTATTTTTGAATGAACGAATCCTACTCTGGTATTTATTTTTATTTGTTATTTACCTTTTATATTTGCTCGGAATTTATTTGACAGTGAAAGCTTTCAGGGGGGATGCTGCAGTACGCTTTTCTGGCCTGTTTAATCCAGTAAATAAATAAACTTGTTGTTCTATTTAATTCAGCAGTTTATAATAAACTATTTCCATTTCTGAACAGTGGAAAAAAATTACAAACAAAATGAATTTTTAACGGATTTTTCATATATATATTATTATTTTATTTATGAAGATTATTTGAAATTAATTAAACGCCTGCCTGCTCTCAGTGTGTGGATATTTTTTAGTAGAAATTGTTAGATTAAATGTATTCAGAAATCGTGAGATGCGGTCTGGTGTGATGTAGGTTTCAGAAAAACATTTTCTTTATCGTGCCAACGTTTCGATCTTTATTGAGATCATCTTCAGGGCCTGGGATTTACAAACATTGTTTATGAGTTTAAACAGTTGATTTTGTAGATTACGTCAGATTTATTTGGTATTGGTGTGGGATCTTTAATATTGGAAAAAAGTTTGGGCACAATTACACAGAAGACAAACACTTTGAGTGGAAATACATTGATTGAATATAAAAAAAAATATATTTTGCAATGTATAAATTCACTTTTTCACATCCTAAATGTATTTGTTAATTGTAAACAATGTTTGTAAATCCCAGGCCCTGAAGATGATCTCAATAAAGATCGAAACGTTGGCACGATAAAGAAAATTTTTTTTAAGGTTTTCTGAAACCTACATCACACCAGACCGCATCTCACGATTACTGAATAATTATCGATTAACGGTCCCTAATCACCACACATTAAATGTAGTATTAACCAATAAGGCATGATCCCATTAAATCTCCAATTACTGGATATAATAAATGTAAAGGGGCCACTGTAGCCAAGATCATTAAAGCGTCAGTCTCGTATGTGATGTACGTGATGCTGAGCTCAATTTCCGATTCCCATCTTTGGCCTTGGGATTTTCTTTGATAATTTGAATTGAGCAAGTACTGCAATATGGTTTTACATCTTACCAAAAATACAATACTAGTACCGACTATTCCGACGTAACGTTCCTTGTACAACTTACTTTTTTAAAATTAAAATCTCCTTTGATTCTTCATTTCGACTTAATCACTGTAAAATTGCTTCGACCAAGCCAAAATAATCTAGTTTCCTTACCTATATAGTATACCTATAGTTCTGCCCTTAGAACTACGTACTTTCTATCCCAATTGGAATTTTGTTTTGTTCGGATCATAACAAAACCTAAATAACAAAACCTAAAAACCCCATCCCATAATTCATCGTACCATACAATTGTTTTATTCCCTATAATGGGCAAAATACTAGTAAAATACCTACCGCTCTTGATAGAATGAAAATCGTTGTATTCCAAGATGTTAAGGAAGCCTTCGATCGGGTAGACTCTCGGGGTTACTCTGGAAGCTTAAGACTCCTTCCTTTTGCCTACTACTCTCCTTGAAGTACTGTTGTTTTAATCCAAGCTGTGAAGGAAGCCTTCGATCAGGTAGTCTCTCGGGGTTGCTCTAGAAGCTTAAGACTCCTTCCTTTTGCCTACTACCCCCTTGAAGTACTGCTTAACCGACGGACATTTTCGCCTTATCAGTGGTGACTTTCCATCAGCCAGCTATCGCCCAGATTCATGAGTACTCCAAGGCAGTATCTTAAGAACCCTCGCAGAGGTTCTTATCCTTTCTGAAATTGTTCTTACCACCCACATCGTTGATACTGCCATATTTTACTCTTATAAAACCCGTGATTTCAGTTAAAAACCTGCAATCCCATGTCATATCCCTTGATCAATGATCAAGTAGTGGAAAATGGCAATATATGCAAAACACCTTAATATTCAATATGACCTTCAAGTAGTCAAATCAGCTACAAAAGAATTGTACTAATTTTCTTTAAATTATTATTATAATTTTTCTTTTTTTAGACAAAAGAGATGACATTACAGAAGAGACTCCTGCATCCAAGAAATCAAAAAGGTACAATGTAACAAGCAAGATCCACTTGCGACCTACTGCAGAAGACGACTATGCTGATTACACATGTGAGGCGAGGCATGAAGCCTTGCCACCCGACATGCCGCTCCGTGTCACCGTCCAGCTTAGTGTTCTATGTAAGAATTTCAATTTGAGACCCATTTTGAATAGGTTTTGAAAAATGCGCTCTTGCAGATCCGCCGGGTTCACCGTACATCGAAGGCTACACGGAAGGAGAGACGATCCGCCGAGGGCAGACTGTCGAGTTGGTATGCAGGTCGAGAGGAGGAAACCCTCCGGCTCAGCTCATCTGGTACAAAAATGGTGAGCAGATCCGAATGGCATATCGAACGGCTGGGCGCCTCTCGGAAAACATATACACATTTACCGCAGATGCGTCAGACAATAAAGCCAAGTACAGATGCGAAGCATCCAACATCATGAGTCAAGTACCTTTGAAAGCTGAAGTTGATCTGACTGTTTTGTGTAAGTAAATCTTTGATAATCATCTTTACTATTAATTATACTCTTAATTTTTTTTAAAATATGATTCGTCCTTTTTAGTTGCACCTATTCAGGTGACAATAACTGGCCCAACTGAAGCCCGTGTCGGAGATACAGTCCCCATAACATGCACAACAGCTAGCAGCAATCCGCCTGCTGATATTAAATGGATGATAGGAGGAAAACAGATCCGCAATGCCACGCAGAGGACGATTTCTGCACCAGAAGGAGGTTGGATAACGACGTCCAACACGACAGCCGTCATGTCGCCTGATCAGAGATCGCTTGTTGTCATCTGCCATGGGCTTAATAAACAACTGACTGAAAATATCGTCAGCACGCACACCATCAATGTTTTATGTATAAATTGAAAAATTGATTAAAATTAAAAATAAAAAACCTTGGACTGATTGTGACAATATTTTCAGATCCACCGGGGCAGCCTATTATTACTGGATACTCCAAAGGCACGCATATACCGTCTGGTACAGTCCAGAAAATATCATGTATATCTTCTGGGGGAAATCCACTCGCTACCCTGACATGGTACAAAAATGATAAAAAGGTAAAATCTATTTCATTTATTTAATCAAAATTATTTAGATTTTTTGCTGGTACTATTATCACAAATCATTCATGTTCCTTTCCTTATTTTAAAACCATTAAACAATAAATTGTATATAATTTTTCTCAGATCAATTCAGTAAGTAAAACAACTGACAAGTCAGTATCAGCCGAAGTGACCATTCTTGTGAATGTGACCGACAACGAGGCCATTTATAAATGTGAAGCATCCAACCCAGCAACAGAAATCCCTTTGTTCGAGACAGTACAGCTAAGTGTACACTGTAAGTAAAAATTGATTCCATCCTATCACCTCTGACTGTTGAAAATTTTTATACAATTTTAAAATGTCATCAGATCCTCCGGAACACGTGAGAATACGGAAAGATCCAGAGGAGCTACGTGCAGGTCTAATTGCAACACTAACGTGCGATGGGTCATCAAGCAACCCTCCTGCTGAAATGTCCTGGTGGCGAGAAGGTATATCGGTAACCGAAGGGATCAGTAACAGCTCAAAACCAGGCTTGCATGGAGGAACTGTTTCATCTATACAGCTACGTCTCAATGTCACTCCAGATATCGACAAAGATGTCTATACGTGCCAAGCTATGAACACAGCATTGCAACGAAGCGCACATGATGCCATTACAATGAATGTTCTTTGTAAGTTTTTTATCATTTTCTCTTCTGGGAAAAACTAACTTATTTTTCTTTTGTTTAATTTATTTTCTTTTTATTCAGATAAACCTATTTTTAATGAACCGAGTGAAACTGATCTAATTGGCAATGAAGGGGAGAGCTTGGTTCTCGCACCTATGGCTACAGCCCATCCGTCAACCATTTCCTACACTTGGACCAAAGACAGGACTTCTTTAAATTCTGGACAATATTTGTCAGTAGAAGGACCTTTATTGAACTTTACAAAACTTCATCGTGCTCACACTGGGGTTTACATATGCGAGGCGGTCAATTCCGAAGGATCAACTACGATCAGTTTTAACGTTACTGTTCAATGTGAATATAATTTTTAGTTCAAGAAAAACAATTTTTTACAAATGTATCAAATACTAATGTACTCATTTTTCAGACCCCGCGCATATAATAGAAATCAGTGAAGATGTCTCAGTTTCACCGGGAAAAGATGCTGAGTTATGGTGCAGAATAGATGGAGCACCGCTTTCTGGCGATCATGTCAAATGGAGCCGGGAAAAATATCCGGACATTATCCATCGAACTTCAGTCACCTGGAGTAACAACACATCCTACCTGACAGTGCACAGCGCTGCAAAAGAAGATATCGGATTTTTTAAATGTGCTGTTAATAACGGCCTGGGAAACGAATCTTCAAAGAATATATTTCTGACTGTTGAGCGTAAGTTGTTAAAGTATAATTGAAATTGCTTTCTCTTTTATATAAATAAAATAAATTTATTAAATTGAACATTATCTATTTTAATACTACAACAATTAAATATTTATTACTATAATTTGTCTTAATAGATAAGCCACAGATGGACCAATCTCCTTCTTTGAGTAAATCAGCAAGTAACAGTGGAGAAACTGGAAAATTGATTTGCAAAGTGTCAGCAGCACCCGCTGTAAACTTTACATGGTCTAGGGAAGGTTCAATAATTACAACCGATCATCATAAATACTTAATTGAGTACAAAAAGGTAATTTGAATTATTAAAACTAAAAGAATTACTTATTAAAATTTATTTTATTTTTTATTTTAAGCTGGACAATGTTTTATACGAATCGGTTCTTTTGATCCGCAATATTGAACTGTCTGATTATGGTCGATATGAGTGCATGGCTAGGAATGTTCTTGGCTTTGCCACATTGAGCGTCCGCCTGTCGGTCACGTCAATTCCAGACCCACCGACGAATCTGGCGGTTTATAATGTCAGCCACGATTCGCTCACACTAGGATGGGAGCCGGGTTTCGATGGTGGATTACCACAGACATTCAGGTTGCGGTATCGACCTGCATCGACTATCGGGTCTGGGAGCCCTCCCAATTACAGATACGAAGACACAGGCAACGTCACCAAATACGTAGTGACGGGTCTGGAGCTTGCAACGCAATATGTTTTCAGCGTGATGGCTCAAAACAGACTGGGTGCGAGTCGTTACCTTCCAGACACACTTAAAGCCACGACATCAAGTAAGACCCGTACACATTTTTGTTTATTTTGTGTATTCACAGTCCTCCACAATTAAAACTAAAATGAACATTAATTATTAGAATTTTTGACCTGCACACTGTAGTTAATTAAATGCACAATTGCAATCCAATTTTAAATAAACCTTAATTTTAAATTCTGAATTTTGTTATAACATTATAACCTAGATAATTATTATTAAGCTCAGTGCAATAAAAATATACTATTTTGTGCACAATAGTAGAAGAGATGCTAAAAATATAAATTATATGCATGTTATAAAAAGATAAGTTTTGCAATAGTGGTTTAAATTTTAGTCCAAATGACAAAGTGATACATTGTCGCGGGAAGCAATACCTGAGGGATATGGTGATCTAGTATTACTAGACAATTTGCATCAGCCCTGTCAGTCTGAACACCATCTATTGCTGATTTTGTCATGACGACTGCTGGATTGATTCCCGCCGCAACAGATTTCATTTTACTACTTTTAAATAATTACTCAAATAAAAATTATGTGATTTTTGATGTTTTTCTGAAATGAAATGTAACTTACTATAATTTTGGCATCTTATAATATTGTTAATATAGTCTGTTTTGCACATTTTGCCACTATACATTTTACAACTTTTTTCCCTTCGTGTTGTGTGCAGAATGATGAACATAAAATTTGGTCATATCTCAGCTCATTTTAGTTTGCCTAACATCACTGGGTTGGACTGTCAGATATATTTTGGCAAATGTAATCAGTTCATATGACCTGACCAACCCGGGTGAGGATGGACGAACAAAATGAGTAATGACCAAATTTATTTAAATTATTTTTTTTTATAAATCCCATTTTTTTAATGTTTATAAAATATATGTTTCATTGCTTGCATTTTTAGTTTGCTACTGGTTTTTGTTTGTTTTTACAATTGCATGATTCTGGGAATGATTGGAAATGAAGGAAAAGTGCATGTTTGCATGATGATTTAATGCCTGCTATTGTCGTTTATTAACTAAAGCACCTCCACTGCACATATCTATGAATTATATTTGCTGTAATTCCATAATAACTATAAAATGCAATTCAATAATTTTGTTTCAATTCAACAACAAATAATTTTATAAAAGAGAATAATATTCATTTTTATTCATTAATTACGTGGTCCGCTTGACCAATTAATATATTACAGTTAATTAAGGTTTTTTCGTTGAGATAAAAAAGTCAATGGCACGAGCGGGTTTCGAACCCACGATCTTCGGCTATATACGCCCTGCTCTACCACTTGAGCTATCGTGACCGCGATCCACTCAGACACTAACTTCCCATCGCAACCTCACCATTTGAATTTTCCCTCCTTTTTGCCATTTTTCAAATGTCGTGTAATCGGATTGGATTTTCGACGACAAATGAAATGGCCACGGAGAGCTTTAGTGAAGTATACTTCATTTTAAATCATTAAATTCACTAATTTTGTGGTCCGCTTGACTAATTAATATATTACAATTAATTAAGGTTTTTAGTTGAGATAAAAAAGTCAATGGCACGAGAAAAATGGCAAAAAGGAGGGAAAATTCAAAAGGTGGGGTTGAGATGGGAGTGTCCGAGTGGATCGAGGTCACGATAGCTCAAGTGGTAGAGCGGCGGCGTATCTAGCCGAAGAGCGTGGGTTCGAAACCCGCTTGTGCCATTGACTTGTAATTCATTTTTATATTTGTTTGCTTACCATGGGACAGTGGATAGCACAAAATTCTGGAATTGCATTATACCTGACAGCTTTTGTACGTGATTTATGATTTGAAACATTACATGTTAACATAGATTAATTTTTCATTTACATTAAAAATATAAAAAATAAACTAATTGAATGATATGAAATTAATCATATTCATTTAACATCCATAACATGCACCAACCTCCATTGTTCATATTTCAAATTAAATTAAATATATTTTGAGAAAATTGGAGGTGGTGTGTGTCAAAACGCTTGAGACTAACAAAATTGGATTAGGTGTCGCTCCGCCGTCATTGCCGTCAAGAGGTTCGAGTGGCACCGGGTCCAGGGCATCATCGGGACTTGTGCTTGTCTTTGGAGCCATACTCGGAGCTATGCTACTCATCTTGAACCTGGTGGTCGTCGCATGTTGCCTACGCAAGAGGCGTTCTCGCCTTGCTTCCTCGAAGCACGCTCCAGGTACGTCAGCTAATTATTTTTTCGTGAATAGGTTTGCCGGAGCCTCAGCTCCCTCAGTTCTACCAGTCGGATTTACCAATGGTCATCGTGCTAGCGGTCGCTTCGACTGCAGGCGTACTCTTAGTTATAAATGCACTAGTCATTGCATATTTCTTGTATCGTCGCCGTAAGAGGTTGCCTAAAGGAAAGGAAATGCCAGGTAGTTTATGGATAGTAATTGGATTTTAAATTGACAAAAAGAAAAAAATATATTTATGAAATTAACAAAAAAAAAAATGTATTGATGTGTAGTTGAAGACGAAAAGGGTTTTGCACAGGTGTGGGATGGGCTCTTGGTTCCCCTACATTTTTGTAATTCTTGTTTTTGTTTACTTATTAAAGGTGCTAGTGAACAGGGCAGTAACAAAAGTGCAACAATAGAAATGTATGCTCCAAGCAGCTACAACGAAACAGTGACAGGAGAGACTTTGAGCTCAGTTTCTGAAAAGAGTGAAACATACTCTGACAATCAAGAATTTAATGTAAGTGAATTCTTTTTAGTGATGAACGGCTATTTTGAGCAGAAGGATTTATTTCTGGATGATGTTTCAGGATGATGGACGGAAAGCTGCTGCAAGCACTTACCTCATGGATCAGTCTGAGTACCAATACCAGTACCCAGGATATGATATACAACATCAAATGAAAGAACTCGAGCCAATCGGTTTGCACAGGAATACTTACAATCAGAATGGAGGTGAGTTTAATTTAATGCCAATTAGTACATAGGTTTTGTAGATATGGTTGAGCTTTAAAAACCATTATTTGACCAACAGGTGAAACTTTAAACAACCCTAGACTTACTTGATTGTTTTTACAACTTTATTCTATAACATTTTGTAACTTGCCTTTTAAAATGGATATGGCTGATTTTTTTTTTTTTTTCTAAATGAAATTGTGGTTTATTTCAGGAGTAAGCTTGTCAGGAGGCCAAGGGCTTGACACTTACTACACACTCCAGCCAGATCCTCGATATGTAGCTTATCCTCCACCGGTCCAGTTTGCAGGTCCTCCACTCGCGATTCCCCCGACTGTGCCACCACTCCCCGCTTCAGCAAGGAACGTGCCTCCACCAGATGTGACTGTCCTTTCTACTCCGCCGCTCCTCTCCACCTTCAACTACAACTCGGCCCATGTCACCGAGCCGGACTCTCACCTTGTCTGACTCTAACTCTCCGGGCAGACACTGTCCCAATTTCACCGCTCAACTGCAGTCTGAACTCGACAGCTCAAGACTTTAAAAAAAATCTACGATGAGTGATATGAATGGAAAATAACGTGTGATGAGATGAACCAAAGTGTGTACATAATATCCCCTTTCAATGTGCCAAAGATTAATCCGACATTACGGCAGCCACAGTGCCTGAATGGTACTTGGACCAATTTCAGAACTTTTTGGTTTTAGTGTTTGTAATCTAAGTGTTAATAAGACAAAAATGCATCTTTTTTTATTCCAAATAACAATAATTACTCAATTCATGTGATTCCATGTTTAATGTTTTTGATCTCATTATGTTTCTAAATGTAGATGAAAACAATTCGTCCGTGGTGTTATTACTTAAATGTAACTTTTAAAAAATATTAAGAAAATAATAATTATTATTATTGTATTTAGACAGTTATAAATGTTAACTTATTATGTGTTAAATTCTATGGTAATTGATAAACTGACGAATTTTTATAGAATTAAGAAAAAAATGGTATTGTTTATGTTAATCATTTTGTTTATTTTGGGACAGTGGGATATAAATAATGCTCATTATATGGCCACTCACTAAAAGTATTCTTCTAGTTTATTTTATTTGTAAACTTTACTTTTAGTAAAATTTACTTTATTTAAATAAAGTCTAGTTTATTTTAAGAATTTTACAAATAATTACCCTGGTTATTTAAAAAATGATCATGTACTTCAATAAATAGTATATTAAAAAAAAAAATTAAACAGAGAGTAGTTGATCTAATTTCATAAATATTTTTAGTAAAATAATTCGTTTTCAATAAACAACCTTGTTTTGTATGTAAAACGATGAAAAGTCTATATTTGGAACCAGGGAAGAATGAATTTTTTACGACTCCCACAGCTTCTTATAGATCCTCCTTCCTTTCCTATATATTCGTCATCAGGAAGGAGGCTCCCTACGCGCAGAATCTTGACTGGGCCATAAAACCGTTCAAAATAAAATGGGCTTTTTTTTTAATCAAGTACACAAACAAGTGGTATTTTTAAGAGTGAATACATTTGATGAATTTCATTAGCCTGTTCTTTTGTTCACAAATCATCGCAATTGTCCCTTTCATTTTAAAAAAATTTGAAATTTTTGCCAGTCGAACTGACTTTTTTCTTTGATTGTTCATCAATTTATAAATTCTCATCACATTTTTTTCATGCATAAGATTCTTCAAAATCAATCTGAAGACTTCTTATATTGTGTTCTTTTCTTTACACCCTGTAAAAATTTTGTCGACTTACTTTCAAGAAAATACATAATTTTAATTTTTTTTTTTTTTTAATAATAGGTAATTATTTTTCTTTTTTTTATTTATTTCATCTACATTGATAATTTATAAACAGTGTTATGTTTATTTAAATAACAAAGATTAAAACCATGATTAATCAAATGGGTATTCTATAAGTGAGAGGAAATCATACCAATCGTAAAACTTGCACATGCTCATCCATTTTCTTCCCCTTGTGACATCAACCGCTCACATCAGTTCGAATACAAATCATTGGATAAATGTGGATAGTTAAGTCCTTTTTAAGGTGTATTTATTGTACATAAATATAAATATATATATAAAATAAAATTAATTGTAATTATTGTACAAGAGACAGAGTTTTCATTATTTAAGTTGATGCAGGACTAAAAAAGAAAATATAAAAAATCCTGTCTTTTTCGTTTGTTTTGTATTTATGTTAGTTTTGCCCTCATTGTAAATGAACAAAGGCTTAAATTTTCTTCTGTCTCCCAAAAAACCCATCCATTTTTACCTTTCTACTGCTCTATTTTTGAGAATTATGTACGGAGCAAAATTTAGGCCTGCGTTTATCTATTAGTCCTTGTATTATTTTTTTTTTTAAACATATATGTTTAATTTTCTTGAATAGAAATGTTGATATACTTTATTTTGTTACAGTTTCAATTTCTTTTGTTTATCTTTCGTAACAAAGATGTACATAGTTAATTAGTTTAATAAGAATAGGTAAATAATGTTTCAGTTTATTCTTTAAAGTTCGTTCTTTACAAAAAAATTCTTATATTTTTCTAAAAAAAAAAATTAAATAAATAAAGGACATTAATAAAAGTTTAACTAATTGTAAATAGTCAAAATAGTTGTCTTCAATTTTCTTTTGATATAAAATAATAAAATAAATAAAAAATATTGTGTCATAAAAATCTTATAACAATAATGTTTTCATGCCATAAATTTCATCTTTTTGTTCTTTGTTAATCTTGTAATTAAGTGATTTATTTTTCTAACATAGGCTCCTCAAATATTCTTTGGTGTTTCACCAATTTCCGTGGATTATGTACAATATGAACCTTATACGGCATAACCTTGCATGATTTCATTTGTTAAAAGAAATGGAGTATGCAGTCTGTATCATAGCTATACATTTAGAGTACGATAATATAATTACATATAAACTATGTTTAAAAGAAACATGACTTTTAATACATTCGTATATATAAATATATATTTGTTTTTAAGATGTTTACATTTTCATATTTTTAATTGGGCTCAGTCCTGTGTACTAAAGAAACGAAGTGTAAAATATAAATGATATGTAATGTGGCTGTATACATAGGTAAATGAAACATCTTGAAAATATATAAATAAAAGAGAAAACACTTTTTAAGGTTGTATGCTGAATATGCAGGGTGGTAATAATATACATCGTTTTACCCTTTATCCTATTAGGGAAAATCTAATAAATAATGTTTCTATTAAGGAATTATTCTGTACAGGCTAGGTTAAATTATCAAGGCATGCAGCCATAAATAGTTGTTTTATTATCTTTAAACAAAACAACTGTATGAATAGTGTAAGCGTATAAAATCTACTGTGTTTACATTAAAAACGCAAAAAAATCTATCCCCAGAGCAATTAAATGTTTACCACAATTAACATGAATCACCAAAATCTCTGTTGTATCCTTATTTTGTAACATACGCCCAAATCTAATTAACGAATATGTGCTTTTATTAAAGGTGCATAATGTTGTTCCAGTTGTATTATTTAATTTCCATAAATGCTTTAATAAAGTGTTTCCATTTTACTTGTAGGTGTTCTGGTTTATCAAGCAATACATAACCTCTCTAAATATTATATTAGTATAAGGTTAAATGTTTATGTTTCAACAGATATAAAACACTAATATGCTCTAATATGTTGAAGATTAGAATCAAAAAAGTGGTGTAGTAGTTGTCTGGATCCTGGACACATAGTTATGGAGTGTAATGAAAACGTGAATGAAGTGATTAGAGCCATGATGTACTTCCAAACCTGATCCGGCCCTCAGATACTAAAAATGTAAATAAAAATATGATCAAAATGAAATGGTAGTTTCGAGGGTTTGGGTCACTCTCATAAAAGAGGGATCATCCTAATCAGTTAAGACTAGGCCAGTTAGTTCTGATTACACGACATTTGAAAATGGCAAAAAGAGAGAAAATCCAAACGGTTGAGATGAAGAGTTGGGTCCGAGTGGATCAAAGTCTCAAGTGGTAGAATAGCGGTGTATTTAGCCAAAGGTCGTGGGTTCGAATCCCACTCGTGACACTGACGTTTTTATCTCAACTAAGACCTTTGAAAGAATAATTAATTGATTGAAAGTTAGTTTATAATGTAGCCTAGGTTTGGCATGTACAAACACATTACACTATGTGTCGCACTTAATTGGATGGTTCATTTCTTGGGCTCATATAGTGAGCGTGTAGGCCACTCAATGTGAGAATTGTGTTTGAGCCGGCAGGGAGCATGTGTCCCCTGTATTTTTGAAAAAACAGGGCTTTTTTTATTGTATAAAGTATTTACACATGTTTTATTTAGTATACTCTTTTGTGTATAGTGAGAGTGAATGTATTTATTAGTGTGAATATGTTGTGAGAGAGGGTTGATATTGGAAATATTGAGCACCCTCTCAACATCCAATTAGATAAGTTGCATAAAGGTGGCAGAGTAATATCGAGTACTTGAGTGAATGTATGTAAATAGGAAAGTGTGTATTTAAGAGAGTGAGATGGTTTGGACCTAAAAACAATTTCATTGGGTGCTGAAATGCCCTATTTAGTATACTCTTTTGTGTATAGTAAGAGTGAATGTATTTATTAGTGTGAATAGGTTGTGCGAGAGGGTTTTTTTTTTTTTTTGCCTTGGTTTTCACCATTAGCGCAAAGTCCAGTGCGAGAGGGTTGATATTGGAAATATTGAGCACTCCAACATCAAATCATTATTGAAATTTAAACAATTCTATTTCTATATTTGTTTTGAATTTACGCGAATTTCGGACTCAATAGAAAAAAAGAGCCAAATGTCAAGACCCCTAAAACTTCAAAGGAAAAAAGACAATTTTCGTCCTTTACAAGTAATTCCTTCAACAATAACTTTTAACATTGCAAAATCGTACATTTTTCTTCACCCAATTATTTATTTACACTATTTGTTACTGGCTGATTTATTTCATTAGTACAATTTTTAAATAAAGACGACGAAAGATAGATTGATAGATTTCAAAGTTGGAAACAGAAGACAGTGGAGTGGGAAGCCGGCAACTCAGCAGCTACCAGCCCCCACTGCATCGTACCCGTAGTTCAGCAATCAGTTTCAGTAGTCCTGAAGTACTCTTCCTGGGCGGAAGATTGGAAATCAAATGGACCCCAATTCGCCTTTTCGAATCGCCGTACTGATCATAGTGACCACAGGTGCTTATTATCTCTTTATTTAATTTTATTTTTATGCACAATTTTCTGCCTAATTTAAAGTGGCTAAATCCAAGTTTGCACATGACATTTGCGTTGTTCGATTTTTTAAAATAATTTAAAAAGCTTTCTTATTGAACAGTGTCAGCAGCAGGATATAAGATATTAACGTAATGCAAAACTTTTTTTAAATTAAAAATTTGGCTTTTTCGTGTAAAACTTCTCAAACACCATTGCGCTCAAATTAAACCCTGTGTAATTAATGTAGTTTAGTTATAAAGTTTACTCAATATTAATCTAGTTAATCTCATTTCTTTCTATTAGTTTGGTGCTTTACGAGTTCATATATTTTATTTCATAGGACCCAATTCAACCAATGAACATAGGATGAGCTTATTTTTTATTTTCTGAAGAGTTTTCATTTCTGGAATGTTCACTGAATTCTCATTCAAATTTGTTATAAATTTTATAAATGTATGTGTGGTGATGAGTGACCGTTAGTCGAAGATTATTCAGAAATCGTGAGATGCGGTTGTAGGTTTCAGAAAGAAAAAAAACAATTACACAGAAAACAAACACTTTGAGTGAGTAGAAATACTTTGAATATAAAAAATATATTTTGCATTGTATAAATTCAATTTTTTCCACATCCTACATGTTTTTGTTAAATTTAATCAATGTTTGTAAATCCCAGACCCTGAAGATGATCGCAATAAAGATCGAAACGTTGGCACGATAAAGAAAATGTTTTTCTGAAACCTACATCACACCAGACCGCAGATTTCTGAATAATTTTATAAATGTACTTTTCTATTCGTTGTATATTTTGTATTATATTATTTTATAGTAAACCAAGTAAATTTGTAAACTGTTACTTTTTTACATTTTGTTGATTAGAAAAAAGCTTGTGGCTGTCCGTTAAATAAATAAATAAATCTGTGCAAGCGGTTTTAGATGAAGTGAAGAGTGCGGCAGTTTTCAAAGAGAAACAAATAGCGACCGTGACTCAGATGTGGCGGCTGTAAATTGCTGTTCATTCGTTGTTTCCTTTCTTCAGACTCATTTTACCTAGGAGACGAGAATTTCAGCCGCTAAATAGACATCCAATCCACCTCGATCGTATATGTACTTGATCCTAACATCCTTTAGTATGTCATTATTGAGGAGGTACCCTTAGAATTTAGAATTAGGATTATTTTACCAGCAGGTGGATTGCTTCGACGTATTTGCGGGCAAGTCGATGAATCTTGAAATAAAAATACTGTAGATTTATTTTCATTTACTACCTCAATTAAAAAATTAATAATGATACAATTTTTATGTAATTTATACGTTTTGGCTGAAACACTTACAGTATGCAAAAAATTATTTTATAATAAATAATGATAATAGGAAGTGTGGTGGTTAGTGACCGTTAATCGATGATTATTCAAAAATCGTGAGATGCAGTCTGGTGTGATGTAAGTTTCAGAAAAACATTTTCATTATCATGCCAACGTTTCGATCTTGAGGAGGTACCCTTAGAATTTAGAATTAGGATATTTTACCAGCAGGTGGATTGCTTCGACGTATTTGTCGGCAAGTCGATGAATCTTGAAATAAAAATACTGTAGATTTATTTTCATTTACTACCTTAATTAAAAAATTAATAATGATACAATTTTATGTAATTTATACGTTTTGGCTGAAACACTTACAGTATGCAAAAAATTATTTTATAATAAATAATGATAATAGTAAGTGTGGTGATTAGTGACCGTTAANGCCTGGGATTTACAAACATTGTTTAAATTTAACAAATACATGTAGGATGTGGAAAAAAGTGAATTTATACAATGCAAAATATATTTTTTATATTCCAATGTTTGTAAATCCCAGGCCCTGAAGATGATCTCAATAAAGATCGAAACGTTGGCACGATAGTGAAAATGTTTTTCTGAAACCTGCATCACACCAGACCGCATCTCACGATTTCTGAATGATAATAGTAAGTCTTAATATTATGTACCCCACTTACAAAAAACAACCTCATGATTTCACCATTATTAAATTATAATTACTGTTCGAAAATCCAACTTTATTTTAATAATTAATTTTCTATCATAATTGAGACAATTTTTGATTTTTGACAAAAGATTAAGATTTCCTCTTGAGGTTTGCGGGGTCTTATCGATTGTTTTCATCTATCTATTCTCGCTGTTTTGGTCTATCAGACGCGTTTTGGTTTCTCGTCATCCTCAGTGGTGGAATGTATGATAGAAGTCTAAACGCATCTATCAGTTTAAAATGATCGCTGGAAACGGTGAAACTGTAAATGGTTTTCATCGGGTTAATCAAAACCAACGGAAAAAGTAACGAAATATTTTTATTGTGAGATTTTCTCTCTTGTTTTGTAGTTTTATCGACCAGCTTATGCAGACAATGTTCACTTAGTTATCAGGGATGTGGTCAAATAAAATATTTTTAATTTTAAATCTTCACCTAGCTTTCGTAACTTTATTGTACCTTCTTCAGGGCTCTACAACAGGATATATTATACATTTTTAATTTTGGCCAATCAATATATGTAAAAACATGACATACATTTTTGTACTTACTGATTTTTAGTCAGAAGTAAATATACTTTAAATGTTTTATTTTCATGCTAACACTGAAAAAAAATTTCTCAGTGAAGAAGAAAAATAAAGTGAGAAAAAAAGGTTGCAGTGTTAGCATGAAAATAAAACAATTCAAGTTTATTTACTTCTGACTAAAAATCAGTAAGTACAAAAATGTATGTCATGTTCTTACATATTTTGATTGGCCAAAATTAAAAATGTATAATGTATTCTTTTGTAGAAGCCGAAGAAGGTACAATAAAGTTACGAAAGCTAGGCGAAGTTTAAAATTAAAAATATTTTCTTTGACCACATCCCTGATAACAAAGTGAACATTTTCTCTATCGTTTTCTGGGGGTGCTGAACCTGTAGTTTCCGATCGTTTTCATCTGCCTAGCCCCGCCGTTTTGAGCTGGGCGACGCGTTTGGTTTCTCGCCATCTTCAGGGGTTGGTTAAGGGAACACTGGAAACTACGAAACTCTAAAAGATTTTCAGCTACTAATCGAAACCAACGAAAAAATAGGTAACGCAATATTTTTATCATGAGATTTCCGGGGTGATAAACCTGTAGTTTGCTAGTTTCCTATTGTTTTTCATCTCCTTGCTGTTCTGATCTGTCAGACGACTTCGGCTTCTCGCCATCTTTAGGGTGGGCTAATGGATTAGAAAAACGCATCCGACAGATTAAAAGAATCTGTGAGTTGGTCGTTCCCCAGCATTTTCATTTGGAAACATGTGCTTTCTTTTGGCTTCTTTTAAGGGTTCCTCCACTGCGATCTAAATAGGTCTAATGTGGAACTTTCCTTGGCGCCTCTTAGTGGATCTCAGTGATTGGTTAGTCGCGATTTGGCTTCTCGACATCTTCAGTGGTTTATGGATGATAACGAGAAGTCCAAGGCGAGCATTGTTCAGAAAAAATCTAATCAATTAAAATCCTAATTTTCGAGCAGTTTGGTTTGGTGGATACGGTCGATGAAATGGGCCATGTGCAACTATTTTTGAGGCCTTGAGTTACAATACTAGTTTCTATTCCCTAATGCAGGCCAATTTTCCTTGATGGATGCATTTCCTCGAAATGTCCGCAAAGAATTAAATGTTTCGCTTGAAGCAGCTTCATCTCTAATTCCACCAAACGAATAGGAAGTCTTGAGTGTTGTTCGTCCAAATAAAATGAGAGATCGTCGCATTCCCAGTAATCACTGCCGTTTCTAAATTTCTAGGACAGCATAAAGAGACGAAGAAACGAGTTTCGCAAAAAAAACAACTCCTAATTAATAAAACGACTTTTTATTGGGTTGTTCCACATGAAATGTCCGATTTCTACAGTTTCAGAAATTCAGAGAGGATATAGCGGTTTTCTGTTGTTTACACATTATAATTAAGCCAGGAACACACTTACCCGATGCAACGCTATGCGACACTACCCAACGCCTTGCCACGTTTTGGTAGGGTGAGCACATCTATACGACGTCAAGCGCGCGCCACGTACAGTCACACAGCGTATCACAAATCAGTATCACAATCGCAACGCCTCTTTTGTTCTTAATGCATTAGTTTGAGCAAAACCGTGTAATAAATTGTTAGTTAAATTTAATTCTTTTAAATTTAAGTTTAAATTTTCTTCCTAACCATAACCATCATAATGAAATAATTTTTATAAAACCTCATGAATTTTGGTCCCGTTTAATTTGATACATGACATTAAAATAGGAATGTTGTAATTGATATAGCGACAAAATTACATGTACTTAGTTTGAAATAAACTACAAAAAATATGATTGTCCTGTTCTGACGCTATTTGACGAAAATGGTGTAATTATATGAGCAAAACCGTGTATTAAATTGTTAGTTAAATTCATTATATCAAAAAATGGTATTCCTGTGTTTTGATCAACTTTATACCAAACTTTATTTAGAAATCGTGAGATGCGGTCTAGTGTGAGGTAGGTTTCAGAAAAACATTTTCTTTATCGTGTCAACGATTCGTTCTTTATTCAGATCATCTTCAGGGCCTGGGATTTAAACAATTACAATTACATTTTGGATGTTTGAGTCGACACCTTATACAAAAATGTCTTTTCTATACCGACATCCTTCCCCACCCCTTCAAAATCCAACGTATATAAACACAAAATAGCAAAATCTCACTGGCACTCTCGACACGACACGCAAGAATGGCACAATTACACAGAAGACAAACACTTTGAGTGAGTAGAAATACTTTGATTGAATATATAAAAAATATATTTTGCATTGTATAAATTCACTTTTCCACATCCAAAATGTAATTGTTATATGTAAACAATGTTTGTAAATCCCAGGCCCTGAAGATGATCTCAATAAAGATCGAAACGTTGGCACGATAAAGAAAATGTTTTTCTGAAACCTACATCACACCAGACCGC